TTTTTTGTGTAGGCTTGTATTTTACAGTACTGTAAAAATACTCAAAAATGTATCCTTCAGTTTACTAAAGTCACACAAGTGGCAGTTTCACATGTCACATCCATAAACAAGCTTTTTCCTCATAATGCAAAAATGTCAAATAAAATCAATGATTTTTATTCTATAGAGTCAACTCTTATGCTTTTTGAACATTTTCTTTTGGGTTGTGCAGTTTAATTCAGAATTTTTACAGAGTATGTTGCATACTGTAAACTTTTTTTTTTTTTAGGTCACATGCATAACGCATGTTTATTTTCCTTATTTAAAGTATAAACAATGTTTAAAGATTGGTAGTTTTCTGATCCCGTAACTCTGGTAAGTTGTTTTGGAAAATATAAATGGACGTTTCAGTATAACGTTAACCTATACTTTCTCTGTGAATTTATGTTTTGAGATATTACTGCAAACATCACATCCATAATGGAAAAAGTTCAATAAAAAAAAAAAATTTATATATATATATAATTCTGTCTGGTTCTTGAATCTGATTGGCTGATAGCCGTGTGATATTCTGCAAATAACATCCACTCATTCAGCCTCTTAACCTTTTATTCTTGTTTATTACTCCGCCCACATATAGCAACAAGCAGAGGACTCTCCGCAGTTTGACAAACATTGCAGCTGTTGGACAACATAATGTTCTTTTGAGGCTTTTTTAGTTGAGAATGTAGTTGTTTAGATTGTGCAGTTTATTTATAAGGATAGTGCCTATTTTTAAATATTTATAATTTCTGAGAGACAGGCATTGGCAGCCATTAGCCTGTCTTTGAGCAAAGATGGGTGATGTTCATCCATAAGATGGCGTGAGAGACTGCATAATAAGCTCCAAGAGAAAAGCCATCAAACCATTATTAAACAGGTAAATTTCTTTCTAAGTCGATCGCTCGCTTTTGTATGTTGTAGTGCTGTATTTATACCATAGTAATATTGTGATCTCCCGATTACAACAGAGAAATACTGGGGAATCTTTGCAGACTGATGGCATTTTATACCATTCAACTTTATCATTTTAAAATTATAGCAAAAATCACCTGTTTTGTCATCACTTTAGACTTTACGCTAGAGAATGTGACGTTGATGGATTAGCAATGGCTTCTGCTGTTCTGACATCAGCTGCAGATGTAAAGGAATGGAAAAAAAAAAGTAGTTCCTCATACAAAGGGGTTTTCTTTTTTTTATACACATGATTATGCTGTCGAACTGTTGTATAAACGCAATATGACACTCATAGCTTTGCGATGTGGCTGTTTATCGTCGCTGGTGGGATGCTAAGGCACTCAGCCTTCCACCACGTGCTGGTACAGCCACACCGCACTACTACTTGTGTGATATTGCTCGTATATATACCTTTTATCAAAATAATAAACAAGCAATGACGTATACTAAATGACTTGCAGCGCAATCTGAGTATTAGAATAATCCTTTTATTTTCTTTCCTTGATGAGGGCATAATGATGACGTTTTTGATTTTAGCTACTTAAGGCTTAAATAAAAACAGTGTTCTAGAATGAAGATAAGAGTTTAATCAAAGGCTTGCGAGAACTGAAAGACTACAGCACTTCACGTTTTCTTTGTGAATTTTAGACTAAAAACTGGACAAATGGGGGATTGGATTACTTGTTGGCAAAAATTAAACGCACTGGGTCAGTATGTCGTGTGAGAGGGAGTGGTCGTCCACACTGCCCGTACTGTTGAAAATATCACCACACACCCATCGCACTGTCCAACAGATTGCACGAGAGTCTGGTAATAAATGACTCCAATATGTAAACGTTGCTTTATTTCTATGCCTGCTAATTTAGTTTGCAAGTAATAAAATTGAAGCGTTCTGTCAACATTTGGGTTATCATTGTATAACAAGGTAATGCGGTGATATAAATCAGGCGAGGTGGAAAACGTATACATATCACATAATCTCATCTATTTATCTTCTAATTGCAAAATATAATTAAAGTTTGAGGTATTTTTACAAAATTCTGACAGAATTAATTTTACTTTTTGAGACAGAGTATATGTTACGTATTTAATTGCTTATTAAATGTACTCTGCTTTTTTAAAGTTTATATCAGTGTTGTTAAAAATGTATTTCTTTTCTGTGTATCTGCTAAATGAGTAAATGTAAATGATGCTTCACTTTAATGCAGATCTTGATATCTCATATGATGGTGTGGCACAGATTTTGCTCTCTCAGCTTGAACTCTTATTCATTCTGGATCCATTTTTGCTCCAAATTCCTTTCAGCGACCTTCCTGTGTTTTCATAAGAGGCTTACCGTGGCCCTGGGGGTCCAGAAATCTCATATAAACAAGACTGTCCCACAAACAGGCGTGTGTTGAGGTGTGTCCAGCAAGGATGGTGTGTATAGTGTGGCATTACAGCTCATCACAAGGAGAATAAAACACTCTTGATGCTCATATCTCAGTGGTATAATCAAACAATATCTGCGAATGCTGATACGCCTGCTCCTCTATTATACACACAACAAAAGGCTTCTTCAAGCACGTCTTCACTGTAGTCCTAAGGCTGCTGTCTTTCGTCCCAGATACATCCTGCTTGGCCAGCTCAAATATCAGCCGCCGCTGCAGGTTACCAGTTTAATGTTGCCATACAGAGCTGCTTGTTTTTTTTTTTTTTTCACACAACAAAGATGGTACAGATGTAGCCTCTGCTTGATTTAATCGCTATAAGCGCAGATGGGGATGAGATGAACTTTTGCGGCCGGCTGAATGTTGTAGATGCTCTTTAAAAGTGCGTATACTCTAGGCGGATGACGGTATTGGATTTTATGGTGCGATTAATTGCAGAAGCTTTCATCACGATATGATTTTAGATGCGTGTTATCGTATATGTTCAGAGTATCAAATGGTTAAATCAAAGCAGGATTATGAAGTTCTATTGGTACCCCTTTATTATTACTGTTGGTCTCTTTAGTAAATGTTAGTTAGTGCATTAAAATTAACAGTGAGAAATAACTACATTTATTACAGTTTCTATGTTAATTTCACACTGTAAAATAATGAATTTTTTTTTGCAAAACAATTATATATTTTTGGAATTTTTTTGCAAGCAATTTATATGGGCTGAATTTAAACAAATGAAATGTAGTAATGTTCAACTCAGTTTGTTTAGTTTGTTCAGCCCATATAAATTGCTTGCAACCACTTACCTTAAAACAATTTAGTAAATCCAGTGAGTGATTTTTTTCAGTGTAGTTAAAACAGAGCTGAATATGAATATTTATTAACTCCATTTAATAAAACAATCATGACTTTTAAATGATTTATTAGACATCAACTAAGAAAGTTACACCACCTACTGTAAGTATTACAACCCCTCCAGTCTAGAATTGGGAAGGAGTTATAAAGAAAGTGGTGGAGGTTTGGATAAAGATTTCCCTTCTACTGACTCTCAAAAGCAACAAGCTTAGCATCAAAAAAAAAAGTATAAATTTATTAAACTCAAGGAAGCAAACGTGTCTGAATGTCAAATGTTGCTGCGGAACTGTCTGTCTGAGGGCAGCAGAGAGAAAAGGGTATGGCTGTTTCTCAATATGCGTTCTTCAGCGGTCTTGCGTCCTCGTGTTCTCGTGCAACGTCATCATCAGCTGCCTAAGTTCAGTTCCAATACTCAAGACCGCAAGTACGGAGGATGCGTGAAACTTCCCGGATGTGATCTTGATATCGAGGACGCACTGATGCAGACTTGAGCACCGAACTCTCTCTGGAAGTCCCAGAAGTCAGGTGGGAAGCGCAGCATTTAATTTAGATTTATTATTAAAGTTCAGAGATATGACTTATTTACCTCTGGAGTTTCCCTAAATGAAACGGTGAAAGTAAACATTAATGTGAATATCTTAAAAAAGGAATAAACACATTAAGGGTGTTTGTTTGCTGAAATTCGTATTAAAATTTGTTTATTTATACTGTGCAGAGTATATTTATAATGTTTTTATGCAAAGTATATATTTTGAAGAGAAGGGAAAACAATAAATCGTTGTATGAGTGCTGTAATGTTTAAATAATTTCCATTTAAAACGCGTGAAGGTCACGTGACCATCAGGAGGAACGCAGCATCCCATTTCTCACAGGACGTGCTCTCTGTTCTCGTGGTCTCCCGAGTTCGTTCTTCCGAGGACACCTGGCAAGACCGGTCTCCACAAGAACGCAAGTCCGTTCTCTGCGTTCTTGGAATTGAGAAACAGCCTATGGCTTAGGTGGCTGGTTTTCTCTTGTTTTTTTTTATTTCATTTTAATTTTAAATTTTTATTTATTTATTTATTTATTTATTTTTTTATTTATTTATTTTTTTATTTATTTTTTAATTCACTCTTTGGGGGTTTGCCTGCAAATTCTCCTAAAAGATTACAGTATATTCAAAATTCTGCCGCACATGTTCTGACACCCTCTTGCCATCACATCGCACCTGTTCTTCAGCAGCTTCACTGGCTACCGGTTAGGTCACGTATTGATTTTAAGACTCTGATTTTAACTTATAAAGCAGTCCATAGGCTAGCTCCTGATTACATCTTTGATCTTGTGACACTTTCTACTCCTGCTTGCAGTCTTCGCTCTGCTTCGGTTGCAGACTTAACACCATGGGTGGTCGGGCTTTTTCATACCGTGCACCAAAATTATGGAATACATTACCTATAACCATTAGGAATGCCGTGTCTCTGTCTTCTGTTTTAAGATGCTTCTTAGACTCAGTTTTTAAGTATGATATGTTTTTAATGTTTGATCTATTGGTATCTTATTTGTTATATTTTCCTATTTATTGTTTTTACTGTTTTATTGTTTTTAGCCCTGTACGCGCTTTGAGCTTGAGAAAAATTTATCATTATTATTATCATTATTATGTTATTATTAAGATATATGTCCTGTCAAATGTCTGTTCATTAGAGGGATGAGGAATAAAATGGACCGATTTCCTGACACTGATTGTCATGTTGTTTCTTCTTTCAGGATTTGGAGTTCCATGGGGTGATGCGGTTTTACTTCCAGGACCGTGTGGCAGGGAATTTTGCCACAAAGTGCATCAGAGTGTCCAGTACAGCCACCACACAAGATGTGATCGAGACGCTGGCGGAGAAGTTCAGACCCGACATGAGGATGCTGTCTTCTCCAAAATACTCCCTCTATGAGGTCCACGTCAGTGGCGGTGAGTCACGGGAAAACACACGCACACACATTTTTTTATGTGGTTTATCTCCATAGGTGTAATGTATTTTATACTGTACAAACTGCTTATTATATTAGCCCTGCCTATTATTACACTAGTCCTAAACCTAATCCTCGAAGGAAACCGGTGGCAAAATCTGAATAAAAAAAACCTTTTTAAAATCGTTTCAAATACACAGGATACAGGGCATGTCCTCTTAAACTACCTTAAAGTAGCAGCTAGGTTATACTTATATCATTAGGCAATTTTGTGTCATTGTAAAGCACATAAACAGGTGCACACATACACACACACACACACACACACACACACACACACACACACACACACACACACACTCACACACACACACACAAGAGAAAAAAAAGCCAAGATTTTTTGTTTTCTTTTGCAATTGTCATACTTTGTGGAACTTTAGCTGCACTTTGCTATAAGTTGCATTGAGTCAAACTTGTATTGTTGCAAGGATAAAAAAACAAGCAAAAAAAGAGTAGTATTGGTGTATTTATTTTCATTTTGTTGATGGTTAATGTATAATAGGTTACTGGTTGACAAAATTCTCCCCGTTTTATACATATTCAGAATGGAAAAAGAAATTTAAGTGGCATTTACTATAAACAACTTTTATTATAAAACATCCACAAATGAATTTAAGGCAAACACTTTTGCCTACTTAACTTTAGTTGCATTATATAAGTCACTGCAAAAGCGTATTTAAAGGTAAATATGGTAATACAGTCAGATCAAGTTACTTCGAAAACATTGTCACAACAATCTTTCCTTTTCAATATTAGATATTTATAAACGTCTAATACGGGCGATGCGGTGGCGCAGTACGTAGTGCTGTCACCTCACAGCAAAAAGGTTGCTGATTCAAGCCTCCGCTGGGTCAGTTGGTGTTTCTGAGTGGAGTTTGCATGTTCTCCCCACGTTCGCGTGGGTTTCCTTCGGGTTCTCCGGTTTCCTCCTCAGTCCAAAGACATGCAGTATAGGTGAATTGAGTAGGCTAAATTGTCTGTAGTGTGTGAATGTGTATGAATGTTTCCCATTGATGGGCTGCAGCTGGAAGGGCATCCGCTGCGTAAAACGTATGCTGAATAAGTTGGTGGTTCATTCCGCTGTGGCGACCCCATATTAATAAAGGGACTAAGCTGAAAAAAAAAATGAATTAATGAATTAAAAAGCAACTTTTTTTGTATCATTATAAGCAGTTTGAATTGTGGTTAAAATGCAAACATCTACGCTTTTCTAAACAGCTGACAGAAAACAACTAACATTTGATTTTCTAGGGAAGCCCTTTTTATTTAATTTTTTGTTTTTAGTCTGATGTATGAGGTTTCCAGCAGAAAAATATTCCTACACTGAAAAGTCTGCTATCAACTTTCTTTTAGTTGAATCAAATGAACTTTTCTAATCATTTCAATGTACACCAATCAAGCTGACAACAATATTTTTAGTTAAACATTTGTATAACTAAACAGTTTAGTTGAAACCTGATTACTTTAACATTTGATGTCATTATGTACTGTGTTAAGTGTTTGTAGATGACAACATTAACACAACAGCTCTTATTTGTGATGTAGTAGCATAACTCAGTTTTCTGGTTATGTATAACTCATTCATTAATTTTCTTTTTGGCTTAGTTTCTTTATTAATCTAGGGTTGCCACAGCGGAATGACCCGCCAACTTATCCAGCAAATGTTTTACACAGCGTATGCCCTTCCAGCTGCAACCCAACACTGGGAAACAACCATACACACTCATTTATTTAGCCTACCTAATTCACCCATACCACATGTCTTTGGACTTGTGGAGGAAACCAGAGCACCCGGGCACATGGGCAGAACATGCAAACTCCACAAAGACATGCTAAATGACCCAGCCGAGGCCTGAACCACTGACCTTCTGGCTGTGAGGCGACAGCACTACCTACTGCACCACCGCGTAACTAATTAAGTACTAACTATTAGCTTTTCAACAGTTAAAGTTATTAGTAACTAATAGTAGACCTGTTATAATCAATAAATTGTCTTATCGCACAACATATGGACATAAGCTCAATCATTTTTGGTGATGCAATATAAATCGTCCATACATAAAAGCCAATTTTAGCACCACTTTAGCTGATTGTGCAATCTCTTTATCTCTATTGGAGGTGTGAGCTTCAGTATATTTAAAAAAAAAAACACTATAGTGTTTACTATAAATTACTGTAGTATATTTCTGTGTGGGTGTTTGACAGCTAAAAATAGATCTGGTAGCAGATATCGCAGCCTCTGTTACTTTTTTTACCATGCACTTTTTTTGTTAACATTTATTATTGTTTATTTAGGATAAGCATTTTCACATTTACATTTTCTGATGACTAATTACATAGTTAAAGTGACTGTAAATTAATTATTCCTGAGAACAAAATTTGATGTGTTCTTAGGAAGAGTGTACTTGCATTGTGATATATACTATATTGTCATTCTGGCATTATATAATGAGTGGCATAAAATGGTCTTACAATGACAATAATATTGTTTATCGCAATATATTTTGGTGCAAAATATAATTCAAGACAAAAATAGGCATCCTGACAGGCCTAAATAATAAAGTTTTGCTAACTAATAACGTTAACTTTTCTGAATGTGATTGTAATGCAATAATGTGCATCTTTTGTAACAATAATTATTGTGAAAAGCACTATAAAAATAAACTTGAATTGGATATTGCAAGAGTTTTAAAAAATGCTTCTGAAATGTTCATCAATAAGACCTGATTTTTGCTTAAAATCTTTTTAAATTCCTTAAAGAGGTGATTCTCTGACAGTTCTAATCTTTCTCTGTGACAGAAGAGAGGAAACTGGACTTGGATGAGAAACCACTGGTCGTGCAGCTGAACTGGAATAAAGACGACAGAGAGGGCCGCTTCGTTCTCAAGAACGAGAATGACATTATGCCCAAGGTAAAAAAAACAAACAAACGCGCATCCCCAAACTCTCTGGCTTTTCACAGAGCCAGAAACTGTGGTTTGTTCTACCCGAGTGCTGGAGATTCACAGAGGGTGTCTGTGTTTGTTCCTGTTGAGTTGTCTACTCTTGGTTATGTTGGAACAGCTTTTTTAGTCCCCCGCCGTTCAGTCTGTCCCTGAAACCATCTTTTTTCCCGTTGCATGTCAGTTAAAAACTCTCTCAGGACAACCAAACACACAGGCATCAGCAAACACTTCATTTCCTCACTTAACTGGAGCAGATCAATTCTTTTTTTATTTTTTTTTTTCTCCATTTTACCCCGTCTGTCTCTCTCTTTCTCTCTACACTTCGGTGGCTCTTAGTGTTGTGTGCAGCAAGGCTCCCCAAAGAGACATAAAATCAGTGTGAGTCTGCAGGAATGCCAGTGTTTGGGGGTGTGTGGGCAGCAGATCTTCAACATTTTGTGCAATTTAGGCCATTTTTGCACTTTACTTTGATTCTGTCCTCAAATGTGTGAGTTTCGGGTGCCAGCTGTTCAACACTATAACTCGGTAACATCTCAGCAAAAGAAGATGTCACTGTTTTATTCATGTTTTTGTCACCTTAGATGTGCAACAGAACTTGAGAAACTCAGAAGTGTACTTGCATTTCTCTGCTGCAAATGCACTGGAAGAGATGTTAAGAACAAAAGAAGTTAATTTAAAAGCAAGCAACTATACAAGTGCATTTAGTATTTTTGTTGTTCTTTTTTTTTTTTTTTACTTTATTTTGAATGCGTAAATGAAGGTTTTTTTTTTGAAGGGATGCACTGAAATGAAAGATTTTGGCCCGAAACTGAAAATTTTGTATGCACTTGGTCTGAAAAAATAATAATAATAACAATTAAAAAAAGCTTTGTAATTATTTTTTTTTTTATTAAATACTATAAAATAATTTAGTTAAAAACAAATTACAAAACATAAAAACACATTTTTTAGACAATAAAATTTAATTGAACGTGAATTAATAGGTCGAAACCCAATAATTAATCAAAAATCAATAGGGAAAAGAGCATTTGGTCATTGAGGCAAGCCTTGTCATTGGCAACTACTACTCTGGCAAAATTACATCTCTGGCTCATATTCTCAGAGTTTTTTTTTTATTTGTTTGTTTTTTTGGTCCCACTTTATATTAAGGGCCTCAACTACTATGTAGTTGCATCAAAATATACATGCAATATACTTACTGTGTTTATAATGTATTGAAGAACATTTTTAGTGCTCTTCAAGTATGGAACAAAATCAATGCCAAAAGTATTGAAATAAAAAGCTTGTTGAATAGCACAAACTGAAAAAAATAATACATTAAACTAACAAATGCTTACATTTTAACGACTTGAATTCCAGGGTTAGTATTTTTAGGTCCTGAAAGTTAACATGGCTGTTTATTTAAGCTGTGAATATTTCAATTAAAAATATTTCAAACACATTTTCATACCTGAAAATTTAATAATTCATATTTAATTTCCAGATTTCACTGACAAAATATTCAACATATTCTTTTTCACTAGCAGGTGGACCAATTTAAGATTTTTAAACCAGTAAATAAGTGAGGAAAAAAGCTAATAACAGCACAAAAGTATGTCAGGTTTTAACAGCTTAATTTGATCCGTCTTTTGAATAATATACTTGAAATCTGAAAACTGAATATGAATTATTGAAGTTTTAGGTATATAATCATGTTTGAAATATGTTTTTAGTTGAAATATACACATAAACGGATAGGCTTAAATAAACAGCTGTGTTAAATTTCAGGCCCTAAAAATACAAACCCTGGCAATCCAAGTCATTAAAATGCAAGCAGTTGTTAATTTAAAACCTAACATGCAATTTTCGACTTATAATTGTAGTGAAAATTTGGTGCATCCCATGTGAAATTTCAGTTTAAATTCCCCACAAATAATGTTCTTTTAATTTTGTCATAAATGATGTGATTGTTATATGGTTATATTTATGGTACTGTTGTTAAATACATATTTCCTTTCTGTGCCAAGCAGAACAGACAACAATGTTTAAACAAACCAACAAACAAAAACAAAACTCTTTGAACCTCCACCTTTTAGGCTTTTGATTCTAATTGTTGTTGCTTTAAATTCAAATAAATTCAAAAGAGGGCGGAGCTACAAATGCATGTTTCAGCAGAGCGGCAGATTCAAAAGCATGACAAACGTCCTGTACTAATGAGGGAGAGATCGCCACTATTGGGCGGGGCTTTTCCCCTCTGATGACACGCCCAAAAGGGGAATGTCAATCAAAGTGTTTCTGCAGGCTGTTTTTATCAAGTGTGATTCTAAAACATTAAATTAATACATTTTTACTATTAGAAGCTGATTATATTCACAGACTGTTGCCACACAACAGTGTTTAAACCCCTTTTAAAAGTGATTTTTACATAATAGGTACACTTTAAAGTCTAAGGTTATAGCATAAAGTCTTGTGCATTTACTAGAAAACAATATACACAAATACTCGTGTTGCAAAATGAGCTGGATGAGTGTGATCAGAAGCATGCAAATAGCAATTCAGGTTCATCACTTCATAATATAGGGCAAATTGTTTGTATTATATCAGCGGTGAGTTGAAATGTTCTGCTTATTCGCTATTGAGGATGTGGAGTTGAAGTGGTGTTGTGACATCTCTCTGGCCGCTCTCGTGTCAAGTAACTTGTTGAGGATGCTTGAATTTGAACTCTGCGATCCTTGCTTTGGCTCCTATTATTCTCTTTTAATGCAATATTTTGAAATCCCCCTGTAAATTCTGGAGTGGTTCCTATGATACATTGCAAAATCCACAGCTGTGTTAAAAGCTGTAGTCAATAGGAACACATTGTTCCACATAATTCAGCATTAGACATTTGCTGCTTTGAAGGTCCAGTTTAAATAGCTTTTTTATTTAAATATCTGAATTTTAAATAGCTTTAAGGAGATCTATAAGCTAATGTGCTACAAAACAATGGAAAATTTGGCATTTTGAAGATGTTAAACTGATACAAACATCTAAAGCTTGTTGTTTGTCACTTCTCCCTAAATGGATCAACGGTTATATTCACGTAAACTCATACTTCAGTTTCTATCAAATCTTTACCAATCAAATGCTCTCCAGTATCTGACAGGACCCGCCCCCTTTAGGACGCATTTCATTTGATCAGCTTGAGCTCAACCACTCACTGGCGGATCTGCGATGAAAACAAAACGCTATTGGCTGCTTTTAAAAAGGGGAGGGGCTACTCTATGCCCCACCCTCACTTTGTTTTTCAGTGAACATAACATCAAACGTTGAATAAAAAAATGCACATTTTAAAAAAAATTCACGAGACCTTTAGAGTACAATGATAGTTAATAGGGCAAAACAAGTCAATTGAAAACTGTGAATACAATTGAAAACATTATAAACATAAAAGGGGGGAGGCTACGCAATTCCTCATTTAGTTTCCATGTGGATCACGCCATAACCTAATCTACTCCCATGGCATTTTCCTTCTTTTTCATTGATTTTTCTTTCAATCATCAGAGAACACTGACAAACGGTCCTGAAAAGGAGAAAGAGGGGGTGATCCAGAACTTCAAAAGAACACTGTCCAAGAAGGAGAAGAAGAAAGAGAAGAAGAGGGAGAAGGAGGCTTTTTCCAGAATCCCAGATGGAGACGATCATGTGTTGAACCGCGAGGATGGGTGAGGAATGGCCTTGTATGACAGACTGACATGTAAAGACCATAGTCGATTAAAAAAAAGGATTTTATTTGGTTACTCACAAGAATAAAGAGCAACATTGTAACAAGTTTAATCGCTGTTTCAGAACAAAACAATTGATTTAAGGTTAATGCACATCGGATCCGAAATTTCCGTCCAAAATTTTTGTAAGTTAAAAAATAAATTCGACATGTTGTGACTGTGAGAATCATTTTGACACACTGCCTCTGAAACCTTCATTCCTCATAAAATAAATGAAACTTGATTCGATTTATTTATTTTTTTCCTAAAATTATATATATATATATATATATATATATATATATATATATATATATATATATATATATATATATGATTTATCATTTTTTTTGCATCCGAAAAAGCGCTTTGAGAGGTGTTTTGACAGTTCAGAGCCACCGTACAAGTGAGAAGTGAAATACAGAATGCTTTCACTTGAGCTACAGATAACTTTATGACTTACACAGTGCATAAAATAAAGGCAGGATCTGGCGGATGGTTGAGAACCTGTGACTGGATTTAGTGACTGACGTACCTCTGCTCTGCTGCTGTTTGCTGTGTGTGTGTATGTGTGCATGCGTTCGTGCCTGCGTGCTTACGTGTATGTGTTCATATATTTGATGGACTGCCCACAGACATTATAATAGAAAGCATTCGGTCCGTTGCTTGAACATGTCAACGCAGCCGCCATCTATTATAATGTTTAGAGATAAGTAAAGATTTGTTTATATACGTGAATGTGTGAAGTTACACTGATTTCCTGAAATAAACTTTGCATTCCAGGATAATCGTAGCGCAGCTCTTTGATAATGAGCTGAATTCTCCTTCCTCTTTATGCAGTATTGGACGAACACAATATGCAGCCTGTTCCTCTTTTTCTACATTGGAGAAAAGAGGGCCCAATCCCAATTCTATTTTTGTACCCCTACCCCTTCCCCTTGGCACTTAAAACCGAGTGTGAAGGGGAAGGGCTTCAAAATTTCCTCTATAGAATTGGGACAGCACTACAGCACCTGCACATGTCATCATATTTCATGGCGATCTCTTGCTTCATGAGATCAGACAATCGCGACTGCTGTAGTTATTCCAGTTGTGCTATTTTTTGGGGTTTTTCTTCAGGAAATCTCTGAAGGCATATATTATATTATCATAATGATCTGTGGCAATAAGCTCATAACTATACTGTGCATTTACACAGTGACCATATTCATTTATGTAAACACATCAAAAACAACATTAACGTTATAGCAGACACTGTAAAAAGCCCATTCCCAGCCACTAGACTTTTCTGACAGGGTATTTGAGTGTCATCGAGTGTCAGAATGTTGTGGGACTGCTATACCGGAGTTCCTAATATGGATTATTGATCTTGAAATTTAGCTGTTTTTATTTTAGTGTTTTGTTTTTAAAGCGTGGTGGTAAAACACGAACGCGGTTATGAATATATTAAAACATATGCTTGTTTGTTGCAAAAAAAAAATCATAATAATGACAAACAATACTAATTTGTGGATCTCATTACTTCCGGGTGCTGCTGTGGCTGGTGTATTCTGGGAAAATTTTCTTACCCCTTGGTTTCGAGCGTGGTCCTGAAAAATCTTTGTTCAAAGGGGTATCTACGAATTGGGACACCCCTACCCCTTCACAGGAACGCGCAAAACGAGGGGTAGGGGTGTTCGTAAGGGGAAGGGCTAAGGGGTAGAATTGGAATTAGGCCTATCACTGCTTAAACTGAGTCCGAAATGTTTTTTCATAATGGATTTATTATTATGCATCGGACTCAGTGTGCACACATGAATACGAAAAAAACGCATATGAACATTTCAGACTTCTGAGAGCAAAGACTTTTACAGGTATGAAAGCACCCTAATCTCTTACAAACAAGTATTTCTCTTGAAATAAACAATGGAGCAAAGTCTGGATTAAATTGTCTCTGGGTCTGAATCCGGGCTTTAAGAAGCCCTGTATTAGAGCATCTAGTGTACTCATCTTTTTATTTTGTTTTGATTGTCTTAATAATTTGTAAAAAAAAAAAAAAAAAAAACAGGTTTTAAATTTCTCTTTCTGTGCTACCTTGTCTGACTTAATTGGCTGCCTTTTAAATACATCTTTTTTGTTGTTTGTCTACCTGATATAGAGAGAACTCCAGATTAGCAGCTGAGGTTTATAAAGACATGCCGGAGACCAGTTTCACAAGGACCATTTCTAACCCCGAGGTGGTGATGAAGAGAAGACGACAGCAGAAGCTGGAGAAGAGGATGCAGGAGTTTCGGAGTGAAGACGGTCGACCCGACTCAGGTTTGTATTAACGATTACAAACTTCCCCAATTGGCGAAAGTAAAGGCAAAAAAACCTTGAGAATAACCAGACTTAACCATTTTTCCTCTGGCCATAATAATAATGTCATAAAACTCTTTAAAAATGTATCCATTTGTTCATTTTCCTTTGGCTTAGTCCCTTTATTCATCAGGGGTCACTACTGTGGAATGAACCGCCAACTATTCCAGCAAACGTTTTGCATAGCGGATGCCCTTCTAGCTGCAACCCAGTACTGTGAAACACCCATACACTCTCACATGCGCACAAACAAGCACTACGCCCGATTCATTTTATTTAATTCACCTGTTGTGCATGTATTTGGACTGTGGGGTAAACTGATTACCTGGAGGAAACTCACGCCAACACGAGGAGAACATGCAAGCTCCTCATAGAAATGCCAACTGACCCAACCAGGACTCGATGCAATATGTTTATTGCATTTTAAATATGTCAGCTATAATAATTCAGCTCATTTCAAATTTTAGATATATGTCTCTTATATTCCAGAAGATGCTGTAATGCAGAATGATTAGAATTTTTGTTCATTATTCTGAATGATTTTACCGATTGTTGATCCTTTACATGTCTATCCAGAGACCATTTGCTGTAAAAAAAAAAAAAAAAGTAGTCTCCCTGGGCTATGATGTCAGTGGTATGTCTGCATGGCACAGCGAAAGTTGTAATTTTATAATGAGAGCATTAAACCAGAGCCCTGGCATCTCCTTTGCACTTGTTTAGACCTTTAGAACCAGCTTTAAAGCGGGAAACAGTTCCAGACCTCGACATAAAACTATATTTTATAGCTCTGTTTACACCGACACCGAAAATAGCCTTTCTCTCCAGGACAGACACAGATATTTAGATTTTCCACGGTTATGTAATCGGGATAATAACGTATGTCTGCTGCCGAGGGTTTAGACCAGAGGCAAATCCTCAGTGTGGCGCAAACAGTCTCCCAGTTACTCATCACGTTCACCCTGTCTGGGAAGTGTTAAGCAGTGTGTGAACTGGTTAAAGAGGCTTAGTCAAGCACGCGGATGGGTTTAGGCCCCAGTGTTGGGGACGTTTGAGTTCTCACGCTGTATGCGCTGCCATGCTAATAAAGACCTTCAACCTACATTGGACACTACTGGGTTGCTGACGTGATGTTGCATTTTCACTGTCACGTATGACGAAATTGAATGGCTGCATGAAACTGAATAATTATGCTATATAGAGTATTGCGATGACCATATTTATTTAACAAGTCTGTTTTTATTAGCTATGCTTTTAAATCTGTTTTTATTTGATGATATTAAAAAAAAGAGGTAAAAAAAATTACAGGTCTAATTAACTGCCTAAAAACTGTCAATGTGCAAACGTTTAGTCTCACTATGAATGAGTGAAAACCTCAGCATGTAATTCTGACTCTTATTGGCGTTTGTCATTTCCCGCCAATAGTGTTTATTTTTAGCTCTGGGTTCACCTTCAGCTAATAGCAGAATAGCAACTACTTTGGAGACGGGGATAAAGATAGTATGGCCCCATCTGATTGGTCAAATTGAGATAAACAACCAATGCATCAATTAAATGTCATTTATCACACGTCTGCGATTACTGTAAGTGTATTGCATATACTATAAACACGATAACAATAATTTTGTGATTATGTTGTGCAACGATTAATATAATTAGTATTGGCATCATTTAAAATCCAGTAAATGGTTAAAAAATCCTTGGACCTCTTTTTATAAAAACTGCTGTGTTTAAATATTATTTATTTATTTCATTTTTGAGAAGAATTTCAAAACTGTCCTATGGGTTGACTTGTGAGAATTACAGCTCTTAAAAATAAAAAGGAAAATTGTAAAATCATTAATAAACACCATAGGCCTAATTTTACTAGTGGCTATTTTAATAATTGCCCATCTTTTATCTTTCATCTGTATATTTTTTAAAACATTGGAATTTGAAACATTTTGTTACTGAAAATCATGTGACACTGTTCAAGACCGTTTGACTGAAGCTACTGTGAAGCCTGTTAAGTTTTTGTTACAGAATTTTTAACAAATGTTGTTTTTGCGACCACTATAAAATTAGGTTTTGTTGTCCTTTGGTGTGACACCCCTATTTATTGAAAAAGGCCTCTCAAATCATGGATTAAAAAAAAAAAATCATAATTTCATATTAAACATTCATTCACTAATCTTCCTTCGACTTAGTCCCTTTTTAATCGGGTGTTGCCACAATGGAATGAATCTCCAACTATTTAAGCTTATGTTATGCCGCGGATGCTCCTCCAGCCTTAACCCATTACTAAGAAATACCTATACACTCTCACATTCAAACACACTACTACCAATTTAGTTCATCCAATTCACCTGTACCACATGTCTTTGGACTGTGGGGGAAACTGGAGCACCCAGAGGAAACCTAAAAAATGATGCCATTTTTATGGTTATTTAATGTTTACAATGCAAATCCAATTGGATTCACTTATTGTTAAACAAAGCAAGTCATACAATCTATATCTACTTAAAGACGTGTTCAATTATTGTGTATTGTAAATGAATCATATGAACATTTTCATATTAGTCAATATTACTGAAATTAATAAATATACACACATTTACACATGTAAATAAGTAGACTCAATGATGGGCTAAGAATCGGCGGATTTCTGCTCGTGTACATTTTGTGTGGGCCTAGCCATCAGTAAGTGTTTTGAAATGCCAAGTATTAGCTAATCCATTGTCCTTGTCAATATATCGTCTACCTTTAAGACCTTGGATCTGACACAAGGTTGATGAAGCAACTTTGTTAATTGGCATCATTTAGCATCAAATTCTGAAAATCTCTTAAAGCTCAAGTACTGTATCTGATTAATTGGCCTCTGCAATTATAGAGGTCTGCTGCTTATCCACATTATTAACTCTTAATTCTCTTCTATCCAATTTTGTTTAGGAGGCACTCTGAGGATCTACGCTGATAGTCTGAAGCCCAACATTCCCTACAAGACCATCCTGCTCTCAACTACTGACATGGCTGACTTTGCTGTGGCCGAGGCTCTGGAGAAATATGGCCTGGAGAAGGAAAACCCTAGAGACTACTGCATCGCCCAGGTAAGCTTTAACACTGTTGTAGACAGAGTAGATTACTTTTCATTGAGAACTCTCAAGATGCAGGGCTGTCTGACAATGTTTGAAAAATCCGCAGGATGGATTTAATCATTGTTAGTATTTAAAGACTTGTAGGCCTTTAAATTCTCTCTTGTAAAATCACTTGGAGCTTCAATGAGATTGTATATTTCGGGGTGGATGCTTGACCATTTTGTCTTATCCAATGTCCGTAGGGAGGGTGCTATCGCAAATGGACCTGTCAGACCAACGGCGCTCACTTTAACGTTAATTTTGCTGAATAACTGTGCTTATCACTGGGTAACAAGCTGTTATAATATGCTAAAAGCATTGTGTAAATCAGTGGTCCCCAACCACCGGTCTGCAGAACAATTGATACCGGGCCACCTAAGAAATCATAAATTATTTCTGTAGAAAATATTCCCCCCGCGACTTGGTTTCTTCCACTCACCCCCGCCATCTCACTTGAAATGGACTATGCCAAAATCCACCACGGAGCGGGGAGAGCGATCGCTAGAATATAGCTCAGTGGTGGTTGTTGATAGTTTAAAGTTATAAAACAGCTATTATAGAGTCCAAATCAGCAGAGTATTTAAGGATTGTGCTTATATGTGTGCGTGCATCATTAACTAAGTGCCCGAAATCCTTGCAATATGTATCTATATGGAGTTTCACATAATCATACTCATTAGGGCTGTTACATGCCAATGCATACATTTAATTCGGCTATACGGTGGTATTATTGTTAATATGTTCGTCAGTTGAAATGTTTGGCACAGATGTTATGTATTTGATGTATATAAACCTTGATTGAAACATAATCAGACCGCGATAGTGCAACTAGTGCATGCGCACTGAGTTGTTCATGATTAACCTGGATGCACGAGCGCAGCAACTGTGTTCACGTGAAGACCTACCCCCCCACCCCACCGGCCCACACCGGTCCGTTGTAAAATTGACATCCATTGATCAGTCCGCGGTGAAAAAAAGGTTTGGGACCACTGATGTAAATAATATATCAATATAAGCTAATCAATATAATCAATATACCTTATTTCTGAGACAACAACAAACTCTGTACCACATCGGAAGTCATTCCCTTGCTGTAAATGCTAGCTCTCTCCTGTTTGTTTTTTGCAACCTTCTGCAAACTCGATGCACGCGCATCCTGAATGTTTACAAACATGGTAGTTCGTCTATTGGTCAAGATGAGCGGTGGCCCACACTTTTAAATTAGATTTTAAAAACAGCAGATTCCTTGCTTTTATTTATTTTATTTTATTTTATTATTACAATTTTTTAGTACTTTTTTGTAACTGCTAGTAATTTCTTTTATACACATTAGCATTATAAGTAATGATCTAACTATTGATTTATTGATCAACATTTCTTATAAAAGTGTACATGTTGGCTATTTAGATTTATGAAAAATATGCATTTGGCTGGAATTTTTGCATTTTGTAGCTTCCTAGTAAAATATTTATAATGATGTACAATATGCATTTGCCTGGAGTTTTACTAAAATGTGGCTGAATTAAGCCAAAATATATAATTAATAAACATGTTATTGTAGTAATGATACATTTGCAGAAAAAGCATGGACCTTTCTTCATTATTCTCTGGTTGTACAATTCTATTGTTGATGTGTATGTGTGTTTACTGTGGAGTTATTAAGCTGATTGAGCGCCTCTCCGTGGATCCCTCCTCCTCTTCCTGTTATCAAATCCAGCATATTTCATCAGGCCGCTGCACGATTTGCCCTCCAGATTAAAGCCAGGATCTGACATCTGCTTCACCTTTTCAACTGAGAGTAATTGAATTGTGCAGTTGTAGGTGTCCTGTGTGCTGCACTGTACAGAGTGTCAGATAGAGATGTACAGTTGAAGTCAAAATGATTAATCCTTTTCTTATATTACTCAAATGATGTTTAACAAAGCAAGGAATTTTTCACAGTATTTCCTGTAATATTTTTTCTTCTGGAGAAAGTCTTATTTGTTTTATTTCTGCTAAAATAAAAGCAGTTTTATTTTTTTAAAACCGTTTTTAAGGGTCAATATTATTAGCTCTCTTAAGTAGTATATTGTTTTGATTGTCTACAGAACAAACCATCGGTTTACAATGACTTGCCTAATTACAATAGCTCGCCTAATTAACCTACAGTTGCACTTTAAGCTGAACACTAGTATCTTGAAAAATATCTAGTTAAATATTTTGTACTGTCATCAGGGTAACAATAAAATAAATCAGTTATTACAAATGAGTTATTAAAACTATTATGTTTATAAATGTGTTGAACAAAATTCTTAGGAAATTGGGGAAAAAATACAGGGGGGCTCATAATTCTGACTTTAACTATGTGTGGATGAGGAGGAAGTGTAGAGGAGGAGAGCAGGAGGTACTTGAAGCATCCTGTCTTAATCTTTTCAGTCAGTGGTTCAAAAGCATCAACATTGGCTTAGGGTTAGGGAATCAGCCAATCCCGTTTCTGAGAGGAGCATGCATTTATAACATTGTCTCCCATCATTCCTACCGATTTGAAATTCATACACAGCCTGTACATTGTGTATACTGTGTTTCTGTCACTACAACTTGTGTACAATTGGAAATGTTTTACTTTTGTAAACGGTCGTATAAATAAATGTGTGTTTTAATAATCTTGTTTATTGCAGGTGATTCATGCAAATGATAAAGCAGTGAAGGAGACCATATTAGATGACACAGACTGTCCTCTGCAGATCCTCAGAGACTGGACGAGTGATAAAGGTCAGCAGTACACTGTTTTCTCTGCTGTCTTCTCAGTAAATATTCTACTGTGATGATTTGGTAAATTAAGTTTAAAGGTAAAATCATAAATGGTTTAATCTTTTTATTTAAAAACTCTACATTTATTGGCTCCAAACCTTTGAAGATACCTTTGTTAGCTATTCTTTATTTCTTTGACATATTTGAGCATGCAAAGTTGTGTTCACCCTAAAATGACGATTGCAGTAATCTACTTACCCTCATGTCTTTTCAAACCAGTCAGAAATGTCTTTGAAATCCAAGTTTTTTGTTTGTTTTAGTCTTCATAAAAAAGGCAAAATAAAATCTGTTTGTCATAGAAGTTGCAGTGTGCTGAAAAGACCCTGATTTGCTTCAAATAGATTGTCCTGAAGAATTAGCATTTGAGTGAACTATCTTTTAATAGAGGTACAGACATATCTCAGAGTTTACTAAACATTTCAAACTAGTTGTGTTCTGAATATGAACATAATTCGTTAGTGTTTGAATAAAAAAAAAAAGCAGCAGGAAAAACCTATAATTTTTACCAGCTTATGTCACCCCCTGTTGACTTTAAGGTGTTATTACATCAAAGCTGTTGATTTTTACAGAGGCCTTAGTTTTCCAGCTGAAGAAGCGTCCTCCAGATTACGCTCCAAGGAAAGGACGTAAGCCAGACAACCGGATGGGGCCGCAGCACGGATCCATTCCTCCTGAGAAACTGCCTTACCTGGTGGAGCTGAGCCCAGGTGACACACATACACAAACACACACATAAACATGCACAATGACTTCACATCCACTTACCTGCAGATGTAGAGCAGAAACAAAGGCCTTTGTGCACCTCCAAATGGTAGCAGAGCTGTTCCTGGATCAGTGATGCTGATCTAAGCCTGCGCTAGAGTTTCAGTTGCACTGATGTGACAGCTGTGAAGAGCGGCTCACCGATTGCCCACTGACATTCACGCTTGAGTAGAGCTGTGGCCAACAAATCACTTCACTGTTTGGACCACTGTATTCAGCTAGTGAGACCCCTTCAAATACACTGTCAATCAAAAACTAATATTAAAAAAAAAGACTGTTTAGCTAAGCAAGGCTGCATTTATTTGATCAAAAATACAGTAAAATTATATACAATTGTGAAATAATATTAGTTTTAGGTCTGTTAATATTAGTTATTAATTCTTATTGAACGAAATATAAAATTGCACTCATTCCTGTGATGTAAAGATGGATTTTCTGAAGTGGATGTGATGCATGATCCTTCAGAAATCACTCTAATATCATGATCTGCTGCTCCAAAAACATTTGTTATCTTTCTCAACATTGGAACCTTTTGAACTGCTTCATATTTTTTTTGTGGAAACTGTGATTAACATTTAGAAGTCCACGCACAACCATCTCTAGGGTTTACAGAGAATGGTCTGAAAAAGAAAATATCCAGTGAGCGGCAGTTCTGTGGGCGCATATGCCTTGTTGATGTCAGAGGAGAATGGCCAGAATGGTTCAAGCTGAAAGAAAGTCAACAGTAACTCAAATAACCACTTTTTACAACCAAGAGATGCAGAAGAGCATCTCTAAATACACAACACGTCCAACCTTGAGGCTGATGGGCTACAGCAGCAGGAGACCACACCGGTTGCCACTCCTGCAAAAGGGGGTTCAACCCAGTACTAGTAAGGCGACCTAAAAAAGTGGCGCGTGTGCGTGCGTGTGTGTCTGTCTGTGTCTGTGTATATTAAACTATATATTTCTGTTGGAGAATTGAAGCTGTAGGTTTGGAATCCCCAATAGTATTTTAAAAATCCTGTTTTCTCTTGGTTTGTGGCAGCGAGGGAGAAAGAGAAGATTGCTGTAATTTTATTTGGGGTTCTTTTTTTAGCAGGTAGTTTAGATATTATTCCCTCGCAAGCTAGTGGTCTTTTTGTTTATTATTTTTTGGCCTGGTTTACCTTCCAAAATATGCACTTCTGAGAAATTTAATTGTAAAGTAAAATTTTTATTTCTTGTTAAAAACCTGTTGTGGTTATTGTGAGCTGGGACAGGAGAAGGGAAAATCCTAAATTAATTATTTCTAAATGTAATTTTTATTTTGTTATTGCTCCTACCAATAACAAAGCAATAACAAAGTATAAATTAAATTTAGAAATAATAAATGTAGGGTTTTCCCTTCTCCTGTCCCAGCTTACAATAACCAGAAATATTAATTTAAAATATTAAATTTATATATATTTATTATTTCAAATATCTGTTATGGTTTTGAACATCATTGGAATCAAAGAATCATAAAAAGTGAAATGTATAATAGTTTTCACAAACCTTTAAAGCAGCATATATGTTTTTGACATTTAATAATTAGAAGAATTAATTTTTGGAGCCAATAAGAATTGTTCAGCAGATTATCATCAACAACAGATTTCTGAAGGATTATGTAACACTGAAGACTGGAGTAATTCTACGTTGAATCACACCAATAATTAAAATTGTACACTTTTTATTAGCTATATTATTATTATTATTATTATTATTATTATTATTATTATTATTAGTAGTAGTAGTAGTAGTAGTAGTAGTACTATCACTACTATGATTATTATTATTATTATTATTATTATTATAATTATTCATTTGAGCAATTCCTATGTTGTTTTATGTTATTCTTATAAAATAATCCAATAAATATTTAAATTAATAAATTAACTACATACAATACGAATTTTAATAATATTTCACAAATGTAATGGTTTTTTACTGTATTTTTTGATGTAAAATAAACACAGATTGTTATTCAGAAAAGACTTGATTTAAAAACATTTGTACAAATCTTGCCGAAACCAAATTTTTGACAGTGTGCACAGTGTTCAGTCAAGTCGATGTGTTTTAGTGTAAAATTGAGATGTTTTACGGGTAGACCTGACCCTCACTAATGCTGTCTCTCAGTCTAACTGCTGCTTGCCCACTGCTCTTCCCTGCTATGGCCTTAAACTAACCCTGTCACTGCATTTATAACCAATGCTTTTTAACTGCTGTTTGAGTAGAAATTCTCTTGATGTGTAATGACACTGTGTCTACACCGGAAGTCATCGACGTTGAGTTTTGCAGCTTAAAAAACGTAATGCTGTAAAAGTGCTAAAGCCTTTCAGCACTTCTGAATATTGACCAACCAAATCAAACACCAGCAACAATTAAAGGGGACCTACTGTATTATGCAAAAATAACATTTATAAGGGGTTTAAACACAGTTGTGTGACAACACAGTGTGAATATAGTCAGCTTCTAATGGTGAAAAGTGATTAATTAAAATTTTTATAATCACACTTGATAAAAACAGTCTGCTGAAACACTTTGATTGCCATTCTTCCTTTGTACAGTACATGTCATCAGAGGGGGAAAACCCCGCCCATTAGTGACATCTCTCCCTCGTTAGCATAGGACGTTAGTCCCATACGACACATGGCTGTGTATAGCTCCGCCCTCTTATTAAAAAGAGTACAATCTCATTTGAATTTAAAGCAACAGTCACCGAAATGGCACAATTAGGATCAAACCCTAAAAGGGGCAGTTTCAAAGAGTTATAAAACATTATCCGTAGAGTATTTTGAGCTGAAACTTCCTTATTTTATAATGATATTTTATTTATTCTATATCTTGCCAAAAGGGGCATAATTTAAGTGGCTGTGTTTACATTTCAATATAGTTTAAATTACTTTGTATTGTGTTATTTGACATTATTCAAAATATATGTATACTTAGCAATTATAAAACTATTTAAGAAAAATAAAATAAAAGATGTATATAAGATCTGATGAAATACATATTATTGATTTTATTAATTGTGAATCATGCTAGAATTGAGCATGCAATATTCTGTAATAGATAAAAGACGACGATTAGACATTGATAAAGCGAGTGATTGCTCTGTTTCTGTACAGAGGGGTCTCGTTTTAATTTTCTATTGGTCTCAGACAATCACGTGAAGCAATTTTCAAGGTCAGAGTTCACCAAGCTTAAACTTTGGAACACAGTGGTATGCAAAACGTGTTTGTATTTCCAGTCTGCATTTGCGGGTGTAATCTATGAGACGAAAAGTGCAAAGTGAATTTTTGTTTTATATTCTCAGTTTTTAATTATTTCTAGTTTAAACTTTTATTAACATTTTTATGCGTGTTTTATGTGTCTATATGTAGAATGTCTTTGTTAGTTTTCCTTAATATTTGTATACTTATGTATAAATTATAGTTGCAAAGAAAATATATAAATCTAAGCCAGAAATCAAATTAAATTAGCAACCTTTTACATTGTGTTTTAAATTATAATAGTAAGATTAATATGTTAAGTTATTTATGTATTGTAGGCACAAAAAAGACACACATGCCATATATCAATATATATACATGAGTACAAATCAAACTAATAACTTTTAACATTGTGTACATTGTTTTGTATTAAAATGCATCGATTACAGCTTTATGCTTCTGTGTAATATTGTCATCCGGTGTAGATACGGTGTCAAAGTGATCATGAGGGCTCAGAAAATACATTATGGGCCTTAGTTGTAGTCTTGATTGACATATTCACTCATGTCTAGAGTGTGTGTGCCAACTGACAGACAGACTGACCACTTGCTTATGGCGCTGTTTCTCTTTCTTGCTGCATTTTTCGTCTCTCTCTCTCTCTCTCTCTCTCTCTCTCTCTCTCTCTCTCTCTCTCTCTCTCTCTCTCTCTCTCGTTTGTTGTTGGTGTGTGTCCCGCCGCTCTGTCTGCTCCTGGCTCCTGTGCATGCGTCCCGTCGTAGGGCGAGGGAGTCACTATGCCTACTACTACCGCCATCATGAAGGTAACACAAACCTGCCTGCACCCGTAACCCTGCCCCAGCTCCACCTCTCTCTATCGCACAAAACTTCATCAAAACTGGCTTGTGTATTTACACAGTCAGGTTGTTTGCACTTGAGGGATGTGGTATATTCTGCTGAAGCTTTTAGTTTTATCGCACATTGTTTCTTGTGTTTGTACAAATTTATCAGTTTTGCTCACATTAAACTCTTGGGTTATTGTAAAATATCTTACTGTTTGTTTATGGTTAGAGGACATACATTAAAAATCAATTTTTTATTAATATTAATGTTTTAATGCCACAGTTCAGTGGCAAAGAATTCATATTTTAAAGAGCCCCTATTATGCATTATACAAGGTCATATTTTGGTTTTAGGTGTCTATGAAAACAGGCTGATATGCAGATATGCATGCAAGGTCAAAAACACTTTCGTTGTCTTAAAATATGCAATTATTTTTACCTAATAATCCCATATGATTTGTTCAACGTTTCATTTGTTCCTAAACCTCTCCTTAGCATGCAGCTAATCTGGACTGATTTGTCTGATGACCCAGTCTGTTGTGATTGGTCAACTGTGTTGAGAGCGAGACAGAGAGAAACGTCCACCACAGCTATGAAGCAACACACACAAAGTATGTGCGAGCACAATGCAGGGGTGCATTAAAGTAATGCAGTTAAACACCAGCATATACTCTATTCTTAAGCCTAACCCCAAGTAATAACAGCGATACACATTCAGTAGTAATCCACACAGTGGCAAAAGTTCAAAGAATCACCGCGCCGCATGTGTGAGGAACAGCTGATGGTGGCCATAGAAACAAACAGCTGGAGTTCGCAAGCACAAAAAGTATTTAAATCGCTAAAGGAGAAAGCAGGCATTGCGTTTTCAACCTGGTTTTGGACGCACTGTGAATAGCCTCATAGAGATTTAACCTGAGAGATGCATTACAAGCACTGATCTATAACAGATGCACGTTTATAAGCCACGCGGAGCGATTCCAAGTTAAAGCACACAATTTAACATGTATTTTGCAAACTGCAGAAGACAAGACAACCATTTCAATCCCACTTACAGCTTGAGTAGGAAGGAGAAGCACTTACACGATCTGGAGGAAGAAGAAACTGGTCCATATAAACTGTGTAACATTTACTGACCAAGTCCTACACATAAGTAGTTTTTGCTGCTCCTTTTTTAACAATAATAACACACGGCCGGTGAATCACGCGCTGCAGGGTAGATTATTGTATTAATCATCAGAAAAATGACAGGAACAAACACAGCACTCTGTAAACTGTGGTATTGTTGTGGAAATGAACTTTAACTCTTTATTCCCCACAGCCGCATGTCTTGCCATCTCTCAGTGAAATTAATCTTCGCATCATGATCAATCCCATGATCCCTCGCAGTGCTCACGTTTTACCAGATTCGGCAGTTCATGTTTGGCGATGGCCTGTATTGACGTCGCCGCCTACTGGCAAAAGATCAGAACAAAAGACGAATCATTTATCTGACTCTGTGGACTGAAAAGAATCAATAGTTTTAAACATGGTGCATGGTGCAGTTTCAGATTTAAACCTCACCTGGATGTTGTCATTCACTTACAGCTGTGTTGCACACTGCATGGAAGCTCATTTTCAAAAACGCATCATAGGGGCTCTTTAAAGAAACTTTTTATTATTCTTTTTTTAAACTCAATGCCATTAAAATCCACCAGTGAAAACTGTGTATATATAAAATATATACACAAAAATAACTTTATCACCAGTATGAGCATCTTTTAAAGTTTATAATTTAAATTTTTTTTAGTGTTTTGCATTTTGCTTACTTTCTCATTGCCAGTCATCTTACTAATCTTAACATTCAAAATATAAAGCTAACATCATATCATTTACAGCTTACTCTTTTGTTGTAATAAGTGCATTGTTCTTGAATGTTCCAAGAATTCTGATTCCAATTTCCTTTGCAAAAGTCATTTGATGTCATTAACTTAATTGTGTGCATAATTTTGTATGTGAAATCACTGTGTTAAATTATGATTTCGCTGAATACTAAAATGTATTCTAAATTGTTGCAAGAAAAGAAAATGTAGAATCTGAAACCATATGAAGAGTTTTTATTTATATATGTATTATTCATTATTTATTTATTTTTTGCAAGAACATTGTTTTCTTTCTTTGTCTGGACACAAATGGTGGAATACTGAAGAATGTTGGGTACAAAAAAAGTCTATTGACTTCCATTGTTTGTTGTGTTCCTACTATGGATCTCAATAACTATTTGCATCCAAAAATGTGAATTAACTTTATGCACAAAACTGGAATATTGCATAAAAGACTTGCGGAAAAAGCAACGAGTCATGAGAACAAAATTGTCGCTTCCTGATTATCTGGCACCAAATATCAACTGTGAAAACGGAATTTGCTGCAGTAGGAGAAGCTGCGTGTATTTTTTCTTTATTTAATAAATTACTTCTTCAGAAGACAATCCTGACACAGTTACCGCAAGGTGGCGTTTGAAGGCATGAGACGCGGAGCACAGACGCTCTTTATTCTGGTGCTAAATAATAATTTAATAACACTAATACTGAAATGAATAAGGCGTTTTAGAATGACCAATACAACATTCCAGATGTTTTTGCAGTGTGCTCAGCCTGCTGGTTTGTCCATTCACACACATTTTTATCATCAGATGATCTCTTATTTTTCAATCTTTTTTTAATGCTCATACTGGAATTTGCTCAGAAAAGTGTTTCCATCGCAGTTTATGTGCATGTTTTCTTATTGAATAAAAAGTTTATCCTACTGCGTTATGCGCATATGCATTTTCAAAACGTATGTGCATATTGCTGTTTCCATCAACCTTTTTTATGCACATATTCAAAATGCGCTTAAAAATAGGTGGATGGAAATGTAGCTAGCGGCTGCTTTTCCCCATCATTGTTCATCTTGTTTTGCATTTAATGGATGAAAGAAATCAATACATTTTTGGATGCGAGTAAATGGTGAGGAAATGTTTGGGTGAACTATCCCTTTAATTTTGATGGGAACTCTGGATTCTGCATTTATTTGACTAATTTCTTGCTAAACAGAAGCATTTATTTTAAATATACATTACTGACCTCAAACTTTTGAACATAGAAGTGTATTTTTAGTGTCAGTGCTTTAATTAGCAGGCTGTGTACAACCCTAGAAAACCCTCCTGGAGGAGTTGCATCTCAGAGGAGTGAAAGCAGCCTAATTATACTGTAGTTTAGTGAACCCATTGACTGGACGGATTTGGAAACATGTAGTTTTATGTGTCTATAATTACATAGCCTAAAGCGCAGAAGTGACACTGTAATAGGCTGTGCAGGCGTGCACATGCTTGCGTTATTTTCTGAATAGCGTGTGAGTGAAAAGCAGAAAAAACAAACGTGCGTCTCACTGCTGTGTGGCTGATCTGCAGATGGCTCCGACTCCAGGGACAAACCCAAACTCTACAGACTACAGCACAGCGTTACTGAGGTCGGATCTGACCGGAGTGAAGATGGAAACATCCAGGTAATCAAAACTCTTAAAGAGGCCTTGTCATGTTTTTTCTTGGTGTTTATTTTGCACGTGCTTGTATAAGAAAAAAAGCTCATAGTCTTGAATATTCACCACACCTTCTGCACTTAAAATGCAGTGCATGCATAGTTTAGATCATTCCTGGGGAAAACATTATAGCTAATTATTACTTCTCTCTTCAATACTTGATTCTAATTGGCCAGTCATGACATTTCAAGGTGTTATTTCTAGATAACAACCGCTGAGACTAATAGCACAGGCTCATCCTGGTACTTCGAATCATCCTGACCTTTAGTCATTCATTTTTTTGTTGTTGTTGTTATGCATGGCATGTTTTTATTGGTGTTTATAATATCTTCGTGTGTAAGTATAAGATCTGTAAAGAAATAAAGCTCATAGTCTTGAACTAACTCCACACCCACTGCACTTAAAATGGATTGACCTTAGTCTGCATATTGCATGGTGAATATGTTATAACTAGGGCCAGACAGAATCTGCTGACATTTTTTGCTATTTCTGCTCAGAATTTTGTTAAAAATTTGCAGATTTATGCGGAATGATTTTGGAAGTATCATTACTAAAACCTTAATATATAGATTAAAAAGTAATACATTTTTAACTTGTATTTAATGTTTTTAATGCAAATCCAATTAGATCCACTTTATTTGATAAACAAATGGACTCTCATATAATATATCTACTAAAAGACAGAAAACATTACTTTACAAACTGTATTGAAAAAAAAACATATCAATATTTTTATATTAGTCAATAATATTACTGAGATTATTTTAAAAACTCAATAAATATAAATGTACACTTTACACAAGTAAACGAAAAAAATGATGGGCTAAAAATCTGCGGTATTTTGCTGAATTTTGTGGGAGCAGATTCCATGTGGGCCTAGTTATAACTAATTATTACACAGCTCTCTTAAGTACTTGATTCTGATTGGACAGTCATGGCGGTTAAATTGCGAAATCATTGCTTCACTATAAAACAAAAATCTAACCAAACAAAAATGCAAAGATGCAAATTAAATTTGTGCGCAAAAACTGGAATATCAAATAAAAGACATGCGAATAAAGCAACTTTCCATCCTAGTAATCAAAGACAAAAATCATCAATTTTTGATAAACTGGCGCCAGATATTAACAGTAAAAATGGAATTTCTTTATTTAATAAATGACTTGCAGCTTAGAAGACAATCCTGACATGCAATGAATGCATGGTGGCATTTCACTCTTGACTATTCTGGAGGCAAATAATATTATAATAACAAGAATACTGAAACAGTTCAGGCTTTTAGAATGAACAATGCAACATTTCAGATGTTTTACAATGTGCTCAGCCTGCTTGTTTGTCCTTTCACAAACATTTTTATCATCACATAATCTTTTATAACTAAATCACTTGACCTTTTTAATGTGTATACTGAAATTTGTTTGGTAAAAGTGTTCATCTTAGCGAAAACTTAATCTTTTATGCAAATCTTTTCTGTCAAATTAAAAGTTAATCCTACTCTGTAATGAGCATATGTTTTTTATGAGTCTTTTTAAAATGTATGCGCATCTTAGCATTTCTATCAACCGATTTATATTCAAAATGTGCATAAAAATAGGTGGATGGAAGCATAGCTTATGTTTCTCTTCTGCTTGATCCTCATGCAGCTGTTTGGGCCTGGGATTCTCCCTCATCACTGTGACCTTATGCATGCGGACGGCTTGGTGACCATAACCCCAGCCAATATGGACGCAGAGACATTTGTGGATGGACAGCGGATCGCTGACACTACAGTTCTGCGCAGTGGGGTGACCGTCCAGTTCGGAGCAACTCACGTCTTCAAATTCGTAGACCCCAGTTATGACCAGAGCATGTCCAAAAGAGACCCCGGGCCCATGATGAAAGGCAGGCACAAATCAGGGTGAGACATTTTTTTTTTTCTTCTTTTAATAGCAAAAGCCTCAAAAATCACAGCATTGTGAAAATGTAGCCCTTTATACATTTCTGGATGTTGCAAATTATGTAGCCGGAGAAATGTATGGCTGCTTTTTATCTTTAAAACCGGTTAATCGTGCTTTTGAAAACACTATCAGTTGGGTTTAGGGTTGGCTCTAGTGGATTTATGTGAGAACAGCAGGTGTGAATTGCAGTCAGAGAAATTTGAGATATTATAAAGCGTACACAGCAGCCTCTGGTGGATTCATGAAAACAAAAACTGCAAAAAACGTTGATCCTGGGACATATTTGCCGCTCTCCAGAAATGTTCACTGTAGTACGTTTTCAGAAGGAGTCTAGATTGAAAAATCCGGCTGTTGAAGACCATGTTGGTTGAAATGTCAAATTAAATTTGTCTTTTAAGAGCTGAAGTGGAAGTGGGCCGAATTTTTTTATTTATTTTTTTTACTTCATGGATTGTGTTTGGCTTGATCAAGCACCTGCCTTTAAGATTTTTCTAGATGAGCTCACACTGATGTTTTTCTTTTAATAGCAGCCAATATATCAGCTGCTAAGATTCATATTGGAATGAACTGATTGTGATCAGAAAGATTTGAACTTGTACAATAGTCAGCAGACGAGTGCTTTATTGAGCAGCTTGGACAGTGAAGCACAATGAACCGTCTGTTGTTAAGTGGAATTTTAGACTTGGGTAGCTTCTCTGTAACAATAGCCTGCTGGTTTACTTTTTAAAATAGTTACACTATAGTCTAGCTACCCTTTAGAGAAGTCATTAGCTCAACTTTAAGCTACTAACTTGGCTAAGGTGTTCTCCTGCAGTATCGCATAATTGAACTTTATTTAAGTTTTAGTTAAGGATAAAAGTGCACAAAAATAAAGTTATTGCAGTCTCTTAAAAGAAATAATCGATTCTAAAATGTCAAAATGACTTGATGTAGATCTATAATAAGAGGTGATAATGTATAAACATATATCTTGATTTCTATAATGGAATGTTAATTAAAGGATATTTTGCTAAGTGTTTTGGTAACTTTGCTGAGTCAGGCCTGTCTATTCTTAATTTCTTTGTGAATCATCTAATCATATTAAATGTGCTTAAAACGCGTTCATTTAGAAATTATATGCGGCAGTCTCGACACAAATTATCGCATTGTATAAGTATACAAAACCAAAACTAAAAAGTACTTTTTTTGCTTTCATGGCAAATAATAGAGGCAGTCTTTGTGATTTTGGACACATATCTTGGTTAAATAATATAAACGTTTATTTCTGCTAGTTGTAAAGAAAATGTTTTTTCGTTGTCATTTAAATTAAGCAAAGTCCATTTAAGGCAAGTCATCTTTGGCGGTATTCTGTCAGAATGGAGAAAATTCTCCTAAACTGTTTGCCAAGCTTAAGATTACATTACATTTTTGGTATCAACAATTAAATTAAACAACAACCGTCACATAAGATTCATTTCTAAATGTTCAAATAAACTAAAATAACAGTTGTTTAGGTAGCCTAAGCTAATGCGCACTTGAAAGGAACAAGATCACCAACTTTATTTATAGTCCTGTTACACATGATCATACTCTGAATAATGCTTCTTAAGATCGGACTGCTCTTCTGAAGTGATTCACAACTGAGTAGTTGCTATCATGTGATGTGTGTTTGACAGGACTGACTGTACCTTGTGTTTGTTTCCTACAAATTACCAGAAAACTGTTGTAAAAGCACATGTCTGATCCGAGCTTTCCTCTGGAGAAACGTTAGTCTATAGCAGAGGTCACCAACATGGTGCCCATGGGCACCAGGTAGCCCGCCAGTTACACATGAGTTGCTCGCAGGCCTGTTCTAGAAAATAGCTCACCATAGCACCACATATGAGAAAGCTGCATCTAATATTTTTATAGGTATTCTTTTTTGAATCACTCTTGCATTGGTGTAAATTTGAAAATTACTTTGTTATATATTAAAAAAAACTTTAAAAACTATTTCAGACAAATGAAGAGTTGCATATCGATGTTTATCTACCTTGTTAAATCATTGTTGACAACTACTGTGAGAAATTATTAACATGATCAATGTCTTCACAAAGATGAATATTATTAATTATAACATATAACTAAAAGTAAATTAAGAAAAATGTGTTATTTAATAACTGGTAGCCCTTCATACTAATCGGTACTCAAAAAGTAGCTCTCAGTTTCCAAAAGGTTGGTGACCCCTGGTTAGGGTTGTAACGGTATGAATTTTTCACGGTATGATAATCGTCTAAAACAATACCACGGTTTGACGGTTTCGCGGTATACGGTATGTTACAAATGTTACAAAATAATAGAACAGTGAAGCAAATTTGACTTTTTCCAAATAATATATTTTTAGTTACTATAAACAACACCACTTACAATGAACAAATAAAAATAAGAAAATAATAAATAATGTGTCAAAGTCCAAATAAAGTCCAAATAAACATGGTGCAAATCCTCAGTAAAAAATAGATATAAATATTTACTATACTATAAATAGTTACATAACGAAACTAGATTCAATATGGAACATCCTTAGGTTTTATGTGCCAGCATGGATATGGTTGTCTGCAATGCAGACAAACAGCTGCATCTTCATTTGCGTCTTTTTAAAACAGCAAGAGCAGCAGTTCGTCTTTGCTGTGTCACTGTTTTGTCATGTTTCTGTGCTGCTGTGCATGCAAAAGTACTTAGTATGAGAATTATTTCATGCAAAACTTTTTTTTTTTGCGTTTTATTTAGCCGCGCATAAATGTATGCCTATCTCTCATTCTGTGTTGTTCAAAAAGCTTGGTCCGCAAACAAAAGCGAAACCTATGCTTATTGGTTGTGATATAGCGAGTTTGAACCAATCTGGGCATGGAGGAGGGACAATGCATCAATGTATCATGTCTGATTTGTCCGGAGACACAGTGACGAGCGTTTCTTTGTCAAATCAGCGTTGTCAAATGTTGATGACGTAACCGCACTGATTCCGGAGCCTCTGAAAGTCCGCGAATGTTACAGAACTACAGCACTGGAAAGCTGAGATTCTCTTCTTTATGCCAATCTTTGAATTGTATGAATCGGATCAGCGGATCAAAAGTTATTAAACATTTAAGAGCAATACTTATTTTTAGCCGCGGGCGGCTGTCTCGGTCTTTAAGGGTTAAAACCGTTGATATGCAATTGTTCATGGTATGATAATCGTGCACGTTCAAATCGTGGTAAACCGTCATACCGGTATATTGTTACAACCCTACCCCTGGTCTATAGTGATCGATGATTGGCTCCTATATTAGTAGGCAGGGCTTCATTCGCATTCGAGTGACGCATCTAGTGTATTCTATTGTCTTTGGAAAAAAGGTTTCCATTTAAAACTACATTTACAAGTATGTTTGACATAAGTAACCTTTACATTTAAAAGGAAATTAAAAAAATTACAATAAGTTCAAACTCTTAAATAAAATAGCATCTTGATAGAAAAACACTTTTTACTTATATTACATAAAAATCCAAAAATATGTCAAACAGCAGCATTTAACTACAAGTAATATGTTTTAAAGCACATCAGACTTGTGCAAAGGGAGTCAGATAAGTCTGTCAGTCATTAATTTAAAGTTCTTGATTTACATAAACCATTCAAATGATCTGAAGCACCTGATTCTGCCATATTTTTTTAAACTTATGACTGCAGTTTAGGAGAGCGTGTTCAATCCGTTAACTCGCTTATGCAAACAATATCCCAAAAAAATACATCCTGTTTTTTCCCAGAGGTGGCAAAACGTGCTCAGGAAGTGGAGTCAGGAAAAATAGGCACTGTTAAAAACTGCTATTTTGACTCTTTATTATACACAAGCATTAAGTTAACATGAAATAATTCATTCTGTTATAAAATTATGCTATTAAATACTCCTCTTTATGTTGTTTATATATATATATATATATATATATATATATATATATATATATATATATATATATATATATTAGTGCTGTCAATCGATTAAAAATAATTAACTAATTAATCGCACCTTTTAAAAAAAATTTATCGCGATTAATCGCATTTAAAATACTAAAACTTGTAATTTTGCCTATTTAAATGTAAAATTTATGTAAACGCAAGAAAAAAGTATTTAAATTCAAAATATTATTGTTTAATAGAATTTTTGTTTAACTTGTAAAACAGATTTCTTCATGTGAACAACAAACCCAAAATAAACCATCAAGATCCTGGCTTGACAGCCATATTTATTACAGAAATTAAAACACAGGCATGTTAATGACATTTAAATTTCAAAACAATCAATGCCAATAAAGAAAACATTGGTTTCCATGTTGGATTCTAAGTGGACTGCAAAAAAATGCCAAAATACAGGAATTGCAGATATGGAAAATGAAAAATTATAATAATAAACTATAGAATACAAACTGTTGCACTCATTGTAAAGTTTTATTGCTGTGAGTTGAGAACATTAATTATAGAGTAGAAACAATTTTGCTTAATCCTCCTTTACATTCATCCAGTTGCTAAGACTAGGAGTATCCCGCAAGTGCACAGAGACTCCCAAATGCCCGCAAATGAATGATAATTTCTTGCAAACCGGTCGTTAAATACATTGCACACCCCTCTCGCCCCTACTCAGATACGTCGCTCACTCCACCCCTGACACCCCTCAACGGGCCTGACACAGACACACACACACACACACACACACACACACACACACACACACACACACACAACGCGCTGCAGACGTTTTGGCCCCAACGGCCTTCCATACTGGAGCGACTCCCCTCAGATTCAACACGCATGATCATGTTCATCAAATTTGCTAAGCATCCTAAACTAAGCGTCCTAAAGTATTACTGTATTTCACAAGGATTCTGACACAACAACGCGAAGCATACGCTTTCGTTGCGTTTAATGAGGAAACACGCTAAACTTGGAGGGCTCATGCTGAAAGGCAGAGTA